GGAAAGGGCCTGCCTCCGCCACGGCCGCCCCCATCCTCCCGCTTCCCCCCCCCGCCCCGGGATAGTAAACACTGACGACCTTGGACCCGTCCCAGCTCCGCCTCTGGCCAGCAGTGTCACCCAAAGTGACCCTCACCTGTGTCATGGGACAATAACACTCCCTCTGGGGGCCGATGAGGATAAGACAAAATAGCCCAGCTCTGGACTCGGGGGTCCAGAGAGTCTGGATGTGAGGCCCCACTCTACCCCTTCCTAGCAGCATACTCTCAAGTGATTGCACGAAACTCTGAGCCTCAGTTTCCCCAGCTGTTAAATGGGCATAATAACTGTAACTTCTCAGGGGGTTGGGAAGGTCAGACGGGATGCTGTGAGCAAGGCATCTGGCACCCAGCGGGGACACGTTTGCTCTGTCCCGGGCCTTCCGCGAGGCTGTGTTGGCACAACAGGTGGGCGGGGAGCTCACTGCCCCCCACGGCAGCTGGCTCCTGATGCCCAGCCCTGGGCTGGCTCCGGGGAGAGCTATCTCTGGGAGGAACACAGGACAGCTGGGGGGCAGGATGGGGCAGCGCACAGTGACCCAAGCAGCCCTCACACAAGGTCAAGGACACGCAGTCACGCAGACCAAGGTGGAGAGAGGATCAGCCCTACACTGCCCTCAGGGCTGACCTTCAACACAGCCGGGCTGGAGCCTAGAAGCTGAAATCACCCCACCCGGCCCCTTGACTACCTCCGGCTCACCCATCCTGGGATGCTGCGACCCCCAGACCTTCCCACCCCGCCGAGGGGCTCCCAGACCTGGGTCTGGATTTCTCTCCGGTCATTGCCCCCGCCGGTGGGACCCGTCCTCCCCCAGTGCTGACGCCCTAATGCTACACAAACTCTCCCCCAGAGCTCTGCTGCTGGCCGGGAGCTGGGCAGGGGCAGAGGATCCCCTCGAGCTGAGAAAACCCTGAGTCAGCTGACCCCATCCCAGTGAACTACCGGAAAGCTTCCTCCTCGGGGTGAAAAGGGAACTTGAGATGGAGACGAAGTCCAGAGGGAGTGAAATAAAGAACGTGACTTTTTCCTGCTTTTTCTCAAGTTTCGCCCCGTGTTTTCCCACCCGGACTCGGACAGCAAGCTGAGCACAGGGGGCCCCTTGAGAGAGGTGCCACACACGGGTTCTTTCAGGGACCACCTCCCAGGACGGCTCTGCGGATGACAGGACGTGACGGGTGCACTATGGACGTGGCTCTGATTCTTAGAGGGCTGGTCCCCGCACAGTGTTCTCTCCGCCATCCGTGCCCCCCCCCCAGCAGTGGGACAGAACCCCGAGGTTTCTCTGGTGCCACAGAGCCGGGATTTGGGGCTGCCTCAGATCACCAACGGACGTCACCGGTCTGCACAGTAGCACCGTGGCGGGGCCAAGAACACATTTGCTTTGCTGACACCTGTCACCGTGTCTGCACGGACACTCGTTCCTGGGGGCTTGCTTGTCTGCCACCTGCTCTGTGCCGTGCGGCCCCCTGGTAACGGGGCATGTAAGTGTGTGAATGCATGCCGGGCTCGTCAGCCCGCTCGGCAGAACCTTTCTCCAGGCGAAGCAATTTGCAGCAAAATATGCTGTAAATATTTGTTCAGCCCAGGAAAATGACTTTAATTGCATAATTAAACTCGTGGTAGGTGCTTCTTCCGGACAAAACGACTGGGGAGAAGCTGAGACCACAGCTGTCCCTCTGAGTGCGTTGAAGACAGGGACTAAACGTCGGTTTGCAAAGATTTGGCTCTGCA